AAAATAAAAAATAAATGTCAGTTATAAAAAATTTTTAAAAGTAACCTCTGAAACTAAATAAAGATTAAAATAATCTTTGAGTACTTACATGTGTGACGCGGTATCCTTTCTTTTTCGCCAGTTTGACTTCCTCCGTTACCCACGTTCCGACAAGAGCTCGCTCGTCGTCTGTGTGGGTACACGGAGTCTGCAGTTGAAGAAGGGCGCAAGTCCGACACAGGGGGAACATCAGCTTCTTCCGGCACCGATAGGGCAGTACCGGAAGATACAGATTCCGTGGAGGAATCACTCGGCATTGGATAATTCCAAAATAATCTTCCACATCTCCAAAGCTTTCCGTGATGATTGTTGGATGTCCCACAGGGTAGACGCAATACTTGTTCACCTGTGAATGAAAACAAAAAAAGTCAGAAAAAACACATCATAAAAATATACAGAAAATTTAGAAAAGTTTAAGTAAACATTTTTGAAATAATAAATACGAACCCATGGATAGAGTGAAGTAAAATCCACATATTTTGCGTCTCCCTCGTGGAACAATCTGAGGGCATTGGTCCTTCCTCCAAAAAATGACTCGCGAGGATTGAGTCGATCCCTCAGATGGTGTTGATCCAGGAAAGCTTGGAGATCTGGATTTTCCTCCTTCTTCTCTTTGAAATTCATGCTCCCACATTTCGATGACGTGGAAACCCTGGGTGCGAAGCTTTCTTGTCGGTCTCTTCTGTCTTTTCTCTTAACGTTGCCATGGAAACCCCTTTCAGTGGATGTAATGATATATCACCATCGTAGCACGAACTACATCCCGTGAAAGAAACAGCCCTAAAATAATACAAATATATATTAATAGTCTTTAACATATAAATCACTAAAAAGAATCACATAGAAAAGGAATGGTTATATTTTCTTACCTGAAACTGATAGACGGTTTGTGTTTCTTGGCAGAATCCGTCTACCGAGATTCCGGCGACTCTGTGCTCTCCGGAACCGTTCAACGCATGTTGAATCTGTAGGCCTTCCGAAGCAGCAACAAAGTCCAACCATCGGATCGAATCAGGGCTGTAATTCGTTGAGTTGTAGCCGTGTGTAGGCACCATGGCAATCGTGTCGGGTTGAATGTGGCCACTCCGATACGTTGCCATACAGGCTGACGCAATGGTCACGTATCTGAAAAGACAAAAATAAGAACGATTTAATGAACTGTAAATATGATTATTATTGTATAAGAAAATGAGAAAATGACTTACTGGAATGGATCCACATTCGCCACATCCAAAAACTGGGCTCGAAACTCCAGGCAGCAACGGCGAAGAATGTCCACGTCCGATCTATTAAAAGAAAAAATGTTAAAAATACGAAATATAAAAAAAATAAAATAAAAATAAAACAAGAAGTAAAAAATATACCTGCAATAGGCCAGCATCTCATCTTGAAAGTTAAACACGTCCCCTTGTGTGCTTCATGCCAGGACAGAAATGCTTGTCGGGCTGAAGTGCTCATGGTATCCGGGCTGTAGTACCGGGCCCAGGCAGCGGTCCGACATAATTTTGGTTTTCTCGCGAGTTAAAGAGATGCGGGAAGTAACCCTTTTTTAATTCGGTGAGACCGAAGCATCCCGGCAGTTTGGCCAACGCCATCGGTAGAAAATTTAACAAGTCTATGACCCGAATGTTCAGACTAGGATGTCTTAACACTCATGATCATAGACCCGTTAGGGATCACCTCCGGCGCTGTGCCTTGCTCCAGGAGCCAGGCCATCACGAACTGTCCCATCGAACCTGTAAGTAAAAAAAAAAATATGAATAATATTGAAAAAATAGTCATGAAAACTAAAGCATGCAAACTATGGTATTTTTAACTTACCCTTTCATGTTATGAGCCACGGCGGTGAAGCCCTTGTGCTGTGTGGTAAACAGCCAGGCGCAGAAGTTTCGGCATGCCGCGTATCCTGGAAACACTTTTTCTGTGCCGTCGGCATACTGAGCCACCGCGAAATTCACAAGATGCTCCCCCGAAGACTGGTCCGTTTCAAAGTCAAAAAAGATGAGCTTATCCTCGGACTTCTTCGGGACAACACGTCGCAAATAGCAACGGTGCTCAGCAGCCACGACAAACTGGTTGCAAGAAGGGCATTTGGTGGTGCCACACCTATGCAGGTCCTTAGGGCAATCGCGTCTCCGAATCACTTGGCAGCATTCCCTGCACTGGTATACCTGTAACGACAATAATTTTTTTAAACATTACCATTTCGAGTAAATTACATGATAATTAACTTTGTTCATTAAGATACATTTTCAAAAAACACTTACCCTGTCGCAAAGTGAAAACTCTTGTTTTCCAGTCAGGGCTTTGTGTGCTTCAAAGCAGGCATCGGATCGGCAGAGACGGTCGCAATCCTGACATCGTTGGGGGCACGCCTGGAAACAGTCGGTCCTCAAACATATGGGGCAGGCATTGGCACATCGGTGGTTTTCCGGATGTTCATAGGCCTTTTCACAGGACGTGCAGTAATGGTCGCTACCGAAAAATCCTTTCAGAGATTTGATGACGTCATAATGCCCATCGTGAAGCCACAAATTGATCCGTTGTGCCCTCTCTTTCCCTTTATAGACCACCTAAAACATAGACAAAAAATTTTTCTCTTAAATTCCAAAATAAAACCCTTTAGAAATCAGTTTTTAAATTTAATGACATACGTAAAGCGATCTAAAAATTCCCTATGTATTTATAATATCCAAACGAATTGCATATAAAAATAATCTAAACAAGTTAATGTATCCTAAATGTAAAAATTTTCACAAGTTATATTTTTAACATCTAAACAGAAAAACTTTTTCCTAAACAGAATAATCTTAAACTTTCGATTTTATACACCCTAAATTTTGAATATCTAAACAAATTTCCTACATGCATGCATTTTATGCGTGAATATGCATAAAATATAATCTTAAAGGTTAAAGTAGTTTAAAAAATTCACTAGGCATTTTTATAAGGCATATTTTTAACGTCTAAAGAAATAGCATTCATGCATAAAATATAAAAGAATCTAAAAATTCCACCATGCGTTTTTACAAGTTATCTTTTTTTAACATCAAAGCTAATTGCTTACATGCATAAAATATAAAGTTAATATAAAAATTTAAAGTAATCTAAAAGTAAATATCCACGTTATATTTTAAATTTCTAAACGAAAAAACTTTTCTCTAAAAATAAATTCCAAAATCGAACAATTTAAAAAAAAAAAAAGAAAACATTCAGTTTTCCCCATTATATTTTTAACATAGAAACTAATTAAAAAAGTTAAAGTTCTTTAAAAATGAAAATTCACCATGCGTTCAGTTTTCATCCATTATATTTTAACATCGAAACAAATTGCATATAGGCATTAAGTTAATTTAAACACTCACCATGTACTCAGTTTTTTAACATGGAAACAACATAATCAAAATACTATAATGCTAGTCATCTCAATTTTTTTCAGTCCGTTGGAAACTATTTCTAAAAAATCATTCACGCACGAAATAAATTTTATCATAAATAGAAAATAACTAAAATCAAGTTACGGTTTTCAAAACATAGATAAGTACGAACATTTAAAAGCAAAAAATATCTTGAGATAAAAATATTGACTTACCCGGTTCAAATTATCCGAAGAAAAGACGGCAATTTGAGTATCCAGATGGTCTTCGAACGTGGCAATTTCCGCAAATGTGCAAGGGTCTAGAAGCACATTCGCGGCCGTATGGAGCTCTTTAGCACGATTCACAAGAGCTGGTCGGCGACGATCTTTCATGGCATTGATGGCAGTCGTGTCCTTATTCAGATGCGCCAACGCATACACAATTGCTTTAGCGCAACAGAGTCCTTCGTCGTCATAGGGAATAGACAAAATAGATTTCTTATCTAGTCTATCCATGGAGATATTCACTACTTTCCTGTTCCGTCTAGCACCCACAGGTCGTCTAATGGTGATTACATCCACCGAGAATCCCGTATCCAGCTCGATCTTGTCTTTAGACTGCAGCACTTTCATAACGGCAGCCAAAATTTTTTCAACTGTAAGGGTCGAAACTGCCATGAGGGACATGCTAATCGGTTTATCCAACCCATCTGCTTGGATACAAAATCGTATGAGGTCCGAGGGGTTCAAATCGGCTGTCGTCCGGCGAATGAGCTGTTCAAATAATTCCCGGATGGTGTCAGGAATTCGGACCATCGGGATGCCTTGTACATCCTAAGGCAGTCGTTCCATATCTATACTGGCCCGGAAGGTAATTTCCTCGAGTTGGTACTTGTTTTTTTTTTTTTTTTTTTTTTGTTAAAAGAAATTCAACAAGTTCCCCATGTACCACATAGTATCACATGGGGCTTACAGAAGTAAGTATGAAACACAATACAAAATAAACAAGAGAAAATTGAAATAAAATCAAGGATGATTACAAAGTTTTACAATGAATTGACAAAAAATGTTAAAAGCACTTCTCTCGGAAATAAATTGGTAAAACTCTGGAGGCCAGTTAATATTAAAATTTTTCAGTCCCAGTTTCAAGACTTTTCTTTCGCTCTCATATTTAGGATATAGAAGAAGCACATGTTCTACATTCTCCTCGCCGCCGAGGCCACAGTCATAGACAGACTCAGGACTCAACTTAAATCTCTTCAAATAACTTTTAAAATTCCCATGTCCAGTAAGAAACTGGGTTAATTTGTAATTTGTAAAGAAATGATGACACGACAATCTCATTTTAATAGAAGGGAAATATCTCTTAGTTAAACTCCCATTATTTGAATTAATGAATTCGTGATTCCACGACTCCACAATGCTTTCATACATGACCTTCTTATAGAAGGAATTAGGGATATTGACAAAAGTGTCAATTTCCCGCTCAGTCGCAGTCTTAGCAAGGAAATCGGCTCGTTCGTTCCCAACAACACCTGTATGACCACGAACAAATGAAAATGAAACCGAAATATTTTTATCCTTTAGATTCTTCAGTTCTTTTTGAATCTCGATAATGATATTATTAGAAGAAGAAATACATTTTAAGATCTCCAAGGATGAAAGGGAATCAGTACAAATGAGATAGTCTGAAACAGCACTATTTTGTTTAGAGACCCATTTGACGGCGAAGTTTATGCACAAAAGTTCAGCTATGAAAACGGTACATTCATCTCTGATTCTAAATTGAAAGTGCTCAAATTCAAGACCATTTTTGAAGAAAACAAATGCGAGACCAACCTTGCCATCAATTTTGCTGCCATCAGTATAGCAAGTTACAGGCGAATCACCCACAATTTTATTGCTAAACTGAATAAAATTAATAGCATTTCTTTCTGAAGGATGAGGGAGATCAGATAGAGGTAAAATACAATCATGCTGAGAGACAGTAGAAGCAGAAATATTTTCCTTATAAGCAATAGAATAAAGAATGGCAATGTCAATTGGAGGAAAGCCAGAAATTCCATAAACAGACTCATAGCTTACGGTACGATATCCACATATGACCCGCAGAAGTATCAGTCTTTGAACGCGTCGTAAATATCTATAATTTATCTTCTTCTTGAGCGATATACCCCAGGCTCTAGAGCCATACATAATGAAGGGTGCAATTCCTTGTTTATAGATGAGCGAATGAACGTTGTAATTAATACCGTATGTGTTACGTGCAATACGACTTAATCCACGCTGTAATCTATCACATTTCTCTGATACATAAGTTAAGTGTTGTTTCCAAGAAAATTTACAGTCAAGAAAAACCCCCAATATTTTTATTTTGCTTTACCACAGTCAAAGGGGTGTCCATCGAGAGATAACTGAAATGCATCATAACAGATGTTTCGCTTTTCAATAATCATAACCCTGGTTTTATCAGGATTAAAATCTAATTTAAAACCTTTTGACCAGTTGGAGGCGGAATTTAAAGTCTCTTGTGCCTGTAAAAAAGTAGCAGAAAGGTCCCTACAGAAGGCAGAAAGGCAGAAAGGAAGCAAAACAAAACATCATCTGCAAAGGCTATAGTATCACAACAAGCAAGATTTTCCAGTTTTAATAGGAGATCATTAATAATAATATTCCAAAACGTAGGTCCTGAAACAGAACCTTGAGGACAACCCCTTTCAAGGTGACGGATTGCAGAAGCCGAGCCCAATTGCAATTTAGCCGCCCGATCATTTAAAAAATCAGCAGCAAGTGAAAAAATATTCATTGGAAGTTCTACTTTTTTTTAGCAGATAGAGAATACAAGGCCACCACGCATAGTCGAAGGCGCCCTTAATATCCAAAAAGACCAAAATAGTGTGCAAGTTTTTCTTTTTTCCTCTCTGAGCAATATCATTCAAGCGTAAAAGCGCCTTCAGAACTTTTTTGAGGTGTAAAACCATACTGATTACCAGAAAGAAGGTCTCCATGACGGAGATACCAGCAAATTCTGTTAATAAAAAGTTTTTCCAAGCACTTACCCAAAACAGGAAGTAAGCTTATACATCTAAGGTTATCTAGGTGAGGAATCCTAGACTCATTTCCTTTAGGAATAAGAATTACTTGAGCATGTTTCCAAACACGTGGGAAAATGCCAACATTTAGGCAAACGTTAAAAAGTTTATGGAGAAATCTAGGAAACATTAAATGAAACTGTTTAATAATCTCATTCGAAATAGAATCAGGACCAGGTGATTTATTTGGTTCCAGCATAGAAATAACTGTATTAACTTCATCACAAGTAAACATAGAATCTACAAAAGAAGAATAAGCAGTACGCGCAGCTTGACGGTATTCCTTATGCAAATCATCATCAGTTTCCTCTAGATCCGAGGAGAAAGATTTCTGAAGCACAGCAGTAATTGTCTCTTTTAAAGAGTTGGATGTCTCCAGTGGAAAGACAAATACCAGTTATTTCAATTTTTTTCATGAAATCTCTTTTAACTCCATACGTGTAAATCTTTTTCCATACATTATGAACATCAATGGTCGAAAGAAATGTTTTCCAAGACTGAGATTTAGCATCGGCAAGCTTTAGATTGTAAACTTTTCTATATTCAAGATATTTACTTTTATAAAGTTCTCTAAGAGGCGGATTTTTACAATGCTGAAATCTACGCCTAGAGGCATTAAGCCTCTTTCTCATACAAAAAAATTTCGGCAGACCACCAAGGAACATTGTGCTTACCATGATTCCTAACAGGTATGGAAATTTGAGATGCCTGGAGAAGAACAGAACTAAAATTCTCAACAAGAGTATTTAGGCGAGAACCGTCAGTGCAGTCGTTAAGAATATCAATGAAACGGGTGATGCGAGAAGAACAAAATTTTCGAAAACGATCCCAATTTGCTTTCCCTGTATTGAAGATTTTAAAAGGAACATTTGAGGTGTCTCGTAAGAACGTAGAGAGACAAAATTCAAATTCAATCATCATGTGATCAGAAAAGGGATTCTTTTTCAGACAGCCACCAACTCGAAACATCCTGGAGAAGATCTGTGAACCAATAACAGTAACATCAATATAACTAGAACCCTGAGTTGCCTGAAACGTAGGTCCATAATCTTCATTAATAACAAATAGGTTGTTGGCAGAAATAAATTCACTCAGTTTATCTCCACGAGAGTCTGAATAGGGACTAAACCATAATTCAGATTTGCCATTAGAGTCCATACACCAAACCAGTCGATTAAGATTTTTGGACATAAAGACTTGACTAATTTTATGAAGGTCTAAGTCAATGTTCATGACCAGGACAGCATTCTGAAAAGGGTTTGTGATTAACATTCACTTTTTTATAGCTGTTACTTGTTTTATGATTGAAGCGGATGCAATTTATACAAGCTACAGCATTCCTATTCGAACAATCCCTTGCCTTGTGTTCTCCAGAACAGTTAAAACAGGCTGTTCGCTCACGACATTCATCAGCACGATGGTTGTACCCAAGACACTTAAAACATCTATTGATGATAATAAAATCGTCAGTTTCACATATACTCCAATTAATTTTCAACCTGGCTTGATTCAGAATACGTTTACGAACCATGGGGTGCGTTTCAATCACAACGTGCCTCGTGAACTGGAAGGTTTTTAAAGTAAAACGAACTCTACATATACTTCTATTTTCATCAGAATTCAACAACAAATTCGGGATTTTGTTCAAAATCACTTTCAGAAGATCTTCATTAGGTATTTCATTTGGCACATTTTTTACAAGTAAAACAGGATTCCTCTTTTTTGGCAAGGACGTGTTTTAATTCCGGAGACTTTTCATTAATCTCGGCTTGAAGTCGATTCCGATCATTTTCTGTCAAACACTTAACCAAGACTTTATCTTTTCCAATATTTTTTAAAGTATATACACCTAACTTAGCTTCTAATGGATTAATTTTTAGTTTAATAACTTTCTTAACATCGTCAGAAGAGCAGTTTTCAGAGTCTACAATTAAACAACAATCCGAAGAAATCAAGGATTTTTCATTAATCCTTGTAACATCAGATGGCGCCACCACACTAGCATAACTAGGTCTTGAAGTGGCGTCTTTCAAACTTTCCTTACATGCATCCATAAATTTAACAGCTTTGATACGTTCAAAATTTTTATAAATAGAAGATTTCAACTCACCCAAAGCCTGCCTGGCCTCCTCGCGAACCTGTTGATTCATATTACATTTAGATTGAAGTGCTGATTCAATAATTTTACAGTGTTTTTCAAGAGCATCGTAAAACACGTCATCCTCCGTAGCAGCCATTGCCGTGCATACAAATGGGGCGTTCCGGGTCGATGAAATTCTCAATCATTCATTTCTTCAAAAATAATCATTATCTTGATACAAAAGGCACATTTTTCAAAACCGGAGCACAAAACAAATTATAAAAAAGCACTTTCAATAACAAAGAACCAATATGCACAGAATAATAAAGACTTTTCATCACAGCACAAAACTGCCAACCAACACGGCTGCTGACATGCTCAGCACCTACTTGTTATTTCTACGACGAGACTTTTCTGTGAGAACAATCGCCTCATCAATCTGGGGGAAAAATTAATAAGTTTCAGTAATAATCAAAATTTTCAAAATACATTATTTTAATAAATCATGTAAAAAAAGAAAAATATATACCGAACGTTCATCGGTACCAGCCATATACACAGGACCACGAGCTGATGAGGAAGAAGTCTAAAAATAAATAAATAAAAATAAATACATTCATTTCTAGTACTAGAAAAATATTCTAACAGAATCATAACGAAACAAAAATTTACCTCAAATCCAGAACCCACATGATAGTACAAGGGTAGATCCATAGGATTTTCCAGAAAGATCTGATCCACTTCATTGATTAACTATCAAAATAAAAGTGAATTCATTCAAAATAAAATACGCTCAAATAGTAAAATGCATTCAGAAAAAATACGAATAAAAAAATGAAAATACGTGTAAAAACTTACATCGTCATCCGAATCACGGAAAGGACAATCAGAATCTTCAAACAACACCTGGCAATTAAAAATTAGAATAAATAACACATTCAAAAAAATTCGTGTTTAAAAATGGTAATACAAAAATAAAGTAGAAACAAAAAATATACTTACATTAGATGCAGAATAAACTCGTTTAGCAGACATCGTGTAGAAAAACGAAATGGCGCAGAAAATCGCAGAAAGGCAAGAGAACGTTAATCAGCAACAATCAGAGTAGAAATGATCGCAATAGTCAACGCGAGTGAATATATAGACGATGCATAAGAAAGCAATACGCTGATTGGCTGAAATAAGATAGGTATCGTTAGCGAAAATCTGATTGGTCGTTTAAGATTGTATACGTTCGCCACGGCGGATGTAGAAAGCGTGAAGCAGGTTTCGGCATTCTGCAACGTGAAAGAGATAACGTTTGCCTGTTTCTCCCAGCCTATTGACATCATGGTGATTTTCGCTCCAAACGGAAAAATAACAGGTTTGATAACACGAAGAGCTTAGCCGAGCGGTAAAGCACTAGACTCACATCACAGAGATAGCGAGTTCGAATCTCAGCCGTGGAGTTACTTTTAAAATTCCTTAAAAATGGATTAAAATATAATGGAGTCAATTAAAACTATTAAAAAATAATGACGGATTAAATATACGGATTAAAATAATTAAAATAATGACGATTAAAATAATTAAAAGGCTGATTCATATTAAATAATGAAACATTAAAAAATAATGACTAAAAAAGATTAAATACTTAAAATAATAAAGAAAAATAATTGCTAAATAAGGAAAATAATAAAGTTGACGTCATGTGGTTTAAGCGACCGTTGCCACAAGCATAAAAAAATAAAATCGTTGCCACACCATAAAAACGAAACTTTGATGATGTCATTCCGTCTACGTCATTCCTTCCATCTACGACACTTCCGGTTGTCACGTGATTCAAGAGGCGGCGACCACGCCCCTTTTCTGTGACGTCACTTCCGCGTGAGTACCCGCGCTTACTACTCATAAGATTATCTGCCGAAGTGAATATGGATGCCTTCATGGAGGACTGTTTATAGCGGGTAGTTGACAAAAATTATTTCATACGTCTGATAGAAACTGATTCGTATTTATGTTACACATGGAGAAAAACACGAAAATTTCCTGGTAAGCAGCACATCCGCCATGGTTTGAACGCCAGTCGAACTACCAATATTCAACGATTTTTACCTCTCGGCTGCTAGTGGTCAAAGGCCATTTAAGTTATTCTATGAATTTCAAAGTTATCGGTTTATGCTTTATTACACAATTATTCATGCTCAGATTTTTGGAAACAAGAGATAAATTAAAAACTGGAATTCTAGATAACCAAGTTAAATAATTAAATTTATTTAATTTTCCGTTTTACGTTATGAATACGAAAAGCTCCCACGTATGACATATTTGGAGCTCAATTTGGAGAGTAGAATGAATAAGCTTCATTAATTTGGTTTGATATACTTGAGTATAACAAAGCGCACGAAAGGTTGCCTAAGAGAATGGTTGCCTTCGTGGAGGGCTTCCTAAGGAAAACTAGCTCGTAACTACGTTATATAGGGGAAAAACCACGAAAAGCTGCTTTGCTAGGAATCGAACCCAGATCTAACAACCAGGGTATTCAGCAACTTAACCGCTCGGCCGCTTTTAAGTTTCCATAAGCTTTACACGTAATTGTAATGAATATAACTACTATAAGTAAAAATCCTTTCTAAGATATCCATCAGCCATCCATCAGATTTCAGCCTATCAGTGGTAAAGACGCTGAACACTGGTAGTTTGGTCCGAGATTCCAATACCGCGAATGGGCTGACTGCATGGGCACTTTCGTGGTTTTCCCCATGTGTAATATGTATACGAGCCAGTTTCCCTTAGAGAGTTCTCCACGAAGGCATCCATCCCTTTAGGTAGATAGCCCTCGTGCGCTTTGCCATAATTGAATAATCCTAATCCATCCATGTTGATTTTTGGTATTCTGTGAAGATCACCACCCTAGAAAGATGATATTCAGTGCAAGCGTTTGTTTATACCTCTAGAAATGCCTGTCACTTTTGGAAGTGATCGTCTTAAGGAGATGGTCGCCAATCGTTTATGGGCTACTAGATGGTCCGGCTCTGAGTAGGTTACGCATTGGTGCATTGTAAAATGCATTAAATCCTCTCTAATACGATCATCCACTTTTCTAATTATTTTGGTCTTTGGTGGAAGTGGTCGCCTTAACGAGATAATGCTCGGTGCAAGTGTTAATTTCTACTCTGAGAAATTATTTTGGAAGAGGTTGCCATAAGAGGGTTCATTGCATATTAAATGTTTAAATCCAGATCGCTTGTTATAGGATGCATTTTAATTAGATTTTAAAATTTTAGTAAAATAAAAAATCTGAAAGGTTTCAGATTTTAAATTACGTCCAAAGGGGCCTTTTTTTAACATTTTGTGTATTACCTTTATTTATTAAATATCATATTCTTCGCACTTAAACCATAAAAATTCAGTTCAAGAGCAGTATCGCAAAATAATTTTAAATTGAACACATTTTTAGAATTTCCGATTCACAGTCTCACGCGCTGGAGATAAAAATGTTTTTTCTGTACAACATTGCCATGGCTCGCTTTGAAATTCTTGAGTTTGTTAATCAAAAATTCGTTACAAAATATAAAATCGATAATAAAACAAATTCCAAATTTCAAATTTGGGCTTCCAGTTGCCCATATTCGCAGTAGGATTACGTCATTCGAAACTCAATGGCTCTAGGTACCGTTGTTTTATCACAATATTGGTGGCAACAGTTTGAAAAGTGAAACGGACATTCAGAGTGATTCGACGCAAAATCGCAAAATGAAAACATTAGTCCCTCAGGACTAATAATTTTGGACTAATAATTTTGAAATAAACCTCTTAATTTTGATAACTGTGGTATTCTTGTTTTCAAACTTAAGTGCAAATTAAACAATTGTTTCCTGTGCAGATGCGTTACTTTTAATTAAAATCAAATGAGAAAAAAAAATTATGCGAAAATTAATTAGGTAAAAAATTTAGTCCTATTCTTATCGCAAACCGTAACTTGAAATTGCATCTACAACTGTTTCTTATACCAAAGCTCAGGATGAATAAGACCTGACAATGACTGACGCTGGACAACCCGCCTTCCCCTCTGGCTTCCATCGCGAAAGCTTCCCGCTCTAAACAACCCTTTATTTTTAACCTTAACGAAGAAACCATGGAGGTAGGCTCCATGGAAGAAACAAGCAGCCAACACATCTTCTTGCTTCTACTCGCACATGTTTCCGGTTATCCGAAGTTACGGTTGTTGAGATAAAACTTTTATCACCCAGCTTGGCGATCTTTCTAAACATGCCTTATATTTCCCATTGCAAATGAAGGGTGACATTTTTTCCGTTCCTTATTTTCCGGGGATATTCTTTCCGTTTCCCTTTTTTCCGGGTGACATTTTTTCCTACAACCTTTTTTTACATCAGTAAAATTTTGAGGATGTATTCCATGTAGCAGTAGACTTTTTCACTGCACTATTTTATGCCATAATATACCGCTAAATTTGCTTATATTGGAAGAATAGGTAGACATTGTAGCATTTAGTAGCCCCTGCTACATTAACCGCCGCTGTTGGAGATATGCCGTAAGGCGTTGACTCTTAATTAAGAGATGAGGTGAACACCAAAGAATCTCTAAGGAGAAGAAGTAAAGGTTTCCCGATGCAAATGTCGCTCCGTCAGACTGAAGAGACACTGTGTATGTCCCTGAAGCTTATTTTAAAGGGCCAATCCATCCACCCTCCGTACCTTTCTGCGCATGTGCGAAATAGCAGGCAAAAAACCAGCATGTCGTCAGCCATATTAGCAATCTTTTACCGCGTTGTTCGAAGAGGTTCTTTGAAAGTTTTTTTCAGTTCTTTTCTCTAGTTATTTAAGCAGATCATAAGATGGATGTTTCGCAAGACGATCACCGGAATTCACCCGATTCTCTTTCTGTGAGGTAAGCTTGCTTTTTTAATTCGAAAACCTATCATAGATTTTAAAAATTGATTTTGTATAGTACATTAATTTTGATTCCCAAGCTCCAAAAATATTTTGTCTCATTGTATAACACAGCAGCTAGATTTTCATTCTTAATATATTAACTTTGCATTTTAGCATATGAATCTCAATTTATATAATTAATCATATGGCAAACAAATACTATAGTTTTTGCAGGCATATTGCTATTTCTTTCCAAATTTTTTTTTAATGAGTTTTAAGCTTTAAAGTCAACTAATAATAATATTACGACAAAACGAGCGATCAGGAATAAATTTGCCATTTATAATAATGCGGCAGCTAATGGCATGTATGATTGCATAAATTAATTTTATTAATAAATTGTATTATGCTTCAGCTTTAAATTTATGCTATAGATTACCAAATAGTTTATCTGAGAAAATTTATAAACTTATTTAATATTAGTGGCCACTGAAGATTATTTTTAATTTAGTATATTGATAGTTATATACAATTTTTCGTATTTTATGATTTTTTTGAAAATTTTATATTCATTATTATAAAAATATAATTTTGATTTCTCTCAATATTTGATGTGGTGTGGTGAATAACAGACTAACTCACTCTATCTTTTACTTAGCAAACAACCCAAATCCTGGTATCGCTGTTGTGTTTGTGGGACAACGTCTCGAAAAACACCAGACAGGAAATTCTTCAGATTTCCTAAGGATCCTATTAGGTAAATCATTTCTAAGTTTAAAAGAAACTAAGCTTTGATTATTAATAATATATATATATATCTCAATTTTTGATAGAGAAGCAAATATTTCATGTATTTGGAATAATTTAAATAAATAGCTTGTTTTTTTTTTATTAAGTGTTCCTCATCATAGACAAATAGTTCAGTGTTCTTTTGTAAATATCCAAGATAACTGTGCTTGTGATACAGTTGCTCCCAAAAGTGTTCATACACTTTAAGAATTTGTAAAAAATGCGCTGTAGCCCGGAATTGAATTTGATTATAAAGCCCAATATTTTCTCATATCTCTAAGTGATTTTGAATAAAACCAAATTTTTTAAAAATTTTTTTCTTCTAATATTTTAGAAGATAATTTTTGTAATTTATGTATTACAAGCTTGAATGCTGCAGGATATCCTACAAAAACTGACAGAAATTTAACTGCAATATTTCGTAATAGTGTCTGCAGATTTCTTTAAAGTGCACGAAGATTTTTGTGAGGTAACTTTTTTGTTACTTTTTAATTATTAATTCCCCCCCAAAAGTTTTACTGTATTCTTATAATACTTTTATAGAGTTTTGCTAAGATAAATTTATAGATATTAAAAAATTCTCACAGCACTATTTCACTGAAACATAAGTGTACGAACACTTTAGGGAACCACTACATATTAGTGTGAATAAGGAAGGAAACATTTTAAAGATGCACTTTACGAACAATGTGTACTTTTTATTGGTGCCTTATCCTTTTTTAATCATATTGTTAACAAAACTGTACAAAGAAATGCTAAATTGTTTAACTAGATACTATGACCGGTAACTACAATTTAACACAATATCTGCAAAATTATTGGTTTTCGTACATCAAAATAAAATTAGATGAAATGCAATCGTTTCAGAATTTGTTACTAATGTAAAAGGAATTTTTTAACAAGGTTAAATTTCTAATAACACTGAAAAGAGGTTCTTTTAATTAAAGAAAATAAAATTGTTTTTTGTTTTCATAGATCAAAATAATAGAGAATTAGTATAAATATGTCAGAAATGTAATAAATCATATTATGTACATGAATTTTTCCTTAAATTATAATTTAATGTTTGTTCTTAAAAAATATATAACCCTTCTCGAGATTGTGTAACTAATGTATAAGGAATGTTTTTAGTTTGCTATTTTTCTACTAACACTGAAAATGGATTTATTGAAATTTAAAATATAAAATTAATGTTTTTCATTTTTATAGATCAAAACAATGGGCTGCCGCATGCAGTAATCAAGACTTGTTAAATAAATCACCAACTGATTTGTATAAAACTGCACTAATATGTTCGTCACACTTCAAAGATCACGATTACTGTTCACCAAAGATGCGATATTTACATTCCTGTGCAGTGCCGACAAAATTTGAACAAACAGGTATCTACAGTGTTTACTGTTATTATTTCAATATGCTTAACAATAGCGCCATCTAAGAAATAACTCATCAATAATAGTGGATCACCTGTCATGTTATGCTCAAAGAATACTGTGCAACAAAATTGATGGTTTGGATCGCCTGTCATGTTATGCTCAAAGAATGCTGTGCAACAAAATTGACGGTTATTAATCGAAATATTGACTGTTGATTTTTGGCAAAATTAAAATTATGTAAAATCCAAGCATACAGCATTTTTAGAATTATTATATGTTACTGAGGGTTATTATATGTTACTTACTATTATATGCTATTGAGGTGCGGTGTTCTTTGTTAACACCGCACCTCAGTAGGCGAAGCTAAGACTTGTACTAAGTGCGAGCATTGGGAAATAGGTGGGAGGAGTCAGGCCGTCGAGCTGGTAACAATGGGTGGAGAAAAGTGAGCGATTCGTTGGTGCCAGTCACGTGGGTTGTCACCACCCAAGTACTGACCCCGAGAGAAGCTGCTTGAACGGTCAAAGATGTTAAAAGGTTTGAGAGATTCTAGGTCTTCGAATGCAGCAATTAATATTCTGATTCAGCTATCTGCATCAGGTAGTGAAATGCTTGAAATCCTAATTTTAATTTCTCTTAAGTAGTTCTAGGGCTTCTTAATTTTTCTATTATATTCATTAACTTCTGAAGTTGTGTAAGAATTCCTGTGTTTTGGGTGATTATCTGAAAGGTTTTGAAAATATTTTCTGGGTTATCCTCGGAGTACTTGTTCTGTAAAATATCACTATAGCTGGTTTTCCGAGTTGTATAAGAGACACTGGGCTTCGAAAAATTTAGGAGGGGGAAGTTTTCCGCATTTCTTACGGGAATTGGTTTATCGTCTTGCTTCTGAGTTTTTCGAAGGGGGTTTCTTTGCGCTTGCTTCTTATTCTCTTCTGCTAGGCTTCGCTGATATTCCACACATCCGGTATAGGAACTAACATGGTTTAACTTACAAAATATACAGATATTAAAGAGCTACGCTACAAAGTATTAGAGGTTCGCGAACGCCACCTAGTGATGAATTTCACAAAACCCACTGAAAACTGAGAATCGGAAATTTCTCCTCTTTAAAGTCCATATCACACGGCGTTTGTTTCACACGAACAACTGTTTCGGACAGTTTTTCTGCCTGATTTACTATTGAAATAAAGACGTGGAACTTTTTCTTTCCTTTCCAAAAAATTGCAAGTTGTTCGTTTTCAACCAATCAGCTATCAGCTTGTTTGTAATGGGCAAGCAGTTTTCCCTGTGTTAACCCAAAAGCAATCTATGGTGGTTGGCTGTTGTGACAAAGCAGAAAATTGTTCCACGCAGTTGTTCTTCCGAAACAAACCGGCGAGTGATAGCAGCCTTAGAGGTCTTCATAAAATTGGCCATAAAAGTTGGCCTCCGTAATACTTTCATTGATTCCAAGAAGTTACGCGCAATTATCAAAATTTGTCGCTTTTATCCGCAGCTCAGCTCCAGTTTTCGCCCTAACGGCAGAAAGACTTAGCGGGAGCAAAGCAAGATATGTGACTACTATTTTTGTAAGGAGGTTAGAATTTGTGTGGTTTACTTGGTTACTGTGAAGCAGTGAATGAAAAGATTTCGTAACATATCGCATATGGTGAAATATGCAATATCTTTGGCAGTTTTAAATATCCAAGTTCTTCAAACTTTTAAGCATTGCTTAACATCTATAGAAAATCAAAAGTAGCACATATGAGATAACCGCGTAAATTTATTATTAAAGTTTTATATATATATATACTTCGGTGAAAAATCATATTTATAAGAGATATGGCGAACTTAGTTTTCATGATATGTTTCTGGAAATCGTGGAATTCCTATATCACATACTAGATATGGTTCAGTACTATATGTTTAGAAAGAATGTAATAAGTTTATTTGTGCAAACTATTGAAAGCTACAGTAAAATTTCTGTATGCCATACCATACCATTTTACTTTGAGCAGAATTCAAAAAACACCATGCGGATCTCTCATTTGCGAAAAGAAATATTTAAAAAGGTTTTCATGCATGGCCACACAGGAAAGAAGCCTTGTGCGTATGAAATATGTAATCATTCATTTAAATGAAAACGTAGTTCAAACATGTGTATGCTTATTCACACAGGAGATAAATTTTATGGAGCTGTGTAGTAGACGATTTAACCTAAAATGCGAGTTAAATGTGCATAGACTAATCTACAGTGGAGATAAAACCTCATGTATATGAGGAATGTAACGAGTCATTTCAACAAAAGATTGAGTTACACGAACATATATGTATTCACAGAGAGAAACTTGATGTGTGCAGGGAATGTAATAAGTTATTTGCGCAAAAGGATCAATTAAGCAAGCATCTCCTCATCCACATAAGAGAGAGATATTATGTGTATAAGATATCATTTAGGGAAAACAATCATTTAAATCAACATACACTTATTCGCACAGGAGAGAAACCTCAGGTATGTGAGATATGTAAGAAGTCATTTGCACAAAAGAGTGCTTTAAACAGGCATATGCTTATTCACACAAGACCTCATGTGTGTGAATTATGTAACAAGTCATATAGACAAAAATCTCAATTAAATGTGCATTTGTTTGCTCACACAGGAGAGAAACCTCATATGTGGGAACTATGTAACAAGTCATATAAACAAAAATGTAATTTAAACATTCATTTGCTTACTCCCACAGGAGAGAAACCTCATGTGTGTGGGGTATGTAGCAAGTCATATACACAAAAATCAAATTTAAACAAGCATATGCTTATTCACACAGGACAGAAACCTTATATGTGTGAAGTATGTAACAAGTCATACAGACAAAAATGTGATTTAAGCATGCATTTGCTTACTCACACAGGAGAGAAACCTCATGTGTGTGAGGTATGTAACAAGTCATATACACGAAAAGGTGAACTAAACAGGCATATGGTTATTCACACATTAGAGAAACCTCATGCTTGCAAGGAATGTAATAAGTTATTTAAACAAAAGTATGAATTAAGCAAGCATATGGTCATCCACATAAAAGAAAGACATTATGTATGTGAGGAGTGTAAGATGTCATTTAGGAAAAAAAGCCATTTAAATCAGCATACACTTATTCATACAGGACAGAAACCTCATGTATGTGAGATATGTAATAAGTCATTTAGAGTAAAGCATGGTTTAAACGACCATCTGCTTGTCCACACCAGAGAGAAACCTTATGTGTGTTTTGTATGTAAGAAGACATTTGCAAGAAAGAGTGCTTTAAGCAAGCATATGCTTATTCACACGGGAGAGAAACCTCACGTATGTGAGGTATGCAACAAGTCATATACACAAAAAGGCGATTTAAACAAGCATATGCTTTATTCACACAGGAGAGAAACCTTATGTGTGTGAGGTATGTAACAAGTCGTATAGACAAAAATCTAATTTAAACAAGCATATGTTTATTCACAAAGTAGAAAAACCTCATGTGTGTGAAATATGTAACATGTCATTTGGACAAAAGTATTATTTAAATAACCATATGCTTATTCACACAGAAGAGAAACCTCATGTGTGTGAAGTATGTAACAAATCATTTAGACGAAAGGCAGATTTGAATAATCATATGCTTATTCATACTGGAGAGAAACCGCATATGTGTGAGGTTTGTAACAAATTATTCAGATTAAAGAAGTATTTAAATGAGCATATGGTAAATCACACAGGAGAGAAACCTCATGTGTGTAAGGTATGTAATACATCATTTGGACAGAAGGGTAAATTAACCAAGCATATGCATATTCATACAGGAGAGAAACCACCTCATATATGTAAGGTGTGTAACACATCATTTGCACAAAAGGGTAAATTAGCCAAGCATATGCATATTCACACAGGAGAGGAACCTCACATTAAAAAATCATTTGTACTAAAGGGTACCAATGACCATACATGTATCGACATTGGAAAGAAACCTCTTGTTTGAGGTATGTAGCAAATCATTTAGATCAAGGTTTCTTAAATATTTTTCGGTCTTTACACCTTTCATCACTGAAATTTTTTCGCGTCACCCAGGATCCCCATAATATTTACCAATATGTTGTGGGACCATGTAGGTATTGCGCTAATCCAACACATGCGTGAGTGAAACTGTCAAGTTTTTCACTTGTACTGTAATATACTATTGCAGTTTTTGGTCATTAACTTTAATTTCTAATTTTAAGACATAGAACAATGGGAAAATTTTAAATGAGCAACAGGTGAAATGACAGCGTCACGTGCAAAGCAAGGAAAATGAACGTTTATATTATAAAAAGAATGCGTCAAAACATTTTCATTTTTTTCATTGTCTTACCTTTATCTATCTTCAGATACATTGTATAAAAATATTTGGTAATTGTAAAATTATTATAATAAGTTAAAGAAATATCAAAACTGCTGAAAGGTTTAGCGACACCCTGCTGCAGGTTCCGCAACCCCCACAGTTTAAGAAATCCTGATTTACGTAGAGAAATTTTTTAAGAAACATGTTTATTGACACAGAATAGAAGCTTTTGAGTTAACAAGAACCTTTACATATTGTGTGCATTAAGAGCTTTTTCCTTGTGTGTATATAACTTGTAATTTCATCTAAAATATTAATCATTTATTGACTTCTATAAGAGAAAAACTTCTTGTGTGCAAGATAAGTCACAATCCACATGGTTTATCTTGCAAAATTGTATTCAACGAATGCAAACTTTAAGCAACATTTGCTTATCCACGATATTTAACAAGTCTTCCTGTGAAGCAGAACAAGGATAAATTGATTAGTTTTGAGACAAATCCAGTTATTCAGAATCAAGTGAATTTATGTTTCTCACATTCTTCTCTTTCCCAAATATAAATCCATCACACTGAATTCCACTTTGCTTATGATGTTGATAAAACTTTGAATTTTGAAATATTAAATGTTATTGTAAAAATTTAATAGTTTTCTTTCACTTTGGAAAATTAATACAAAATTATTAAACAGAATGTATGGTTTGACTGAATACAAGTTTATAATTTGATCTGATGTTTAAAAATTTTTTAGAAATTTATTGGTATACCAGTTAAACGAAATTCTAGACATGAAATATGATATATAACAGATTTTCCTAATGTCAAAAGTATTCTAGTATTTTACAATAAAAAATTTTTGTTTTGGACTAAAACCACTCAGCATTTTCATTTATAATAGAAAGCCATATAAATACCTTTATTTTAAATTTTTAAATACCAATTCATATATCTGTTTAAAATGTATGAGTATTTAAATCTAATGAGTTTTAACTCAAACTAAAGAGAAAATATAATCTTATATGACAAAATTAAGTTACAATAAAGTACTTAATGGCTAAAAAAAGTACAGTACGAAGTTGACTCTCGATGAGATCCAGACTCGATGAGACTTTGATATCTGAAATTCTTCAAATCTGTGACTGTTATCATGAAGCTTAGCTAGTGTCTGCTATGCTCTACTTGCAATGTATGATAAGATTGGTGTCTAGAGATATGTTGTTGTTCTAAATTTTCTCTTCTGTTGCAAGCTGAGGAAGTTAGATTAGAATTACATTAGCTTAATTATTTATGTCTATTTTCCACATATGCTGAAGGGCTATCTGAGTCTCAAATAAATAAATTCCCAGGGCTTGGCCAGAGGGCCTCTAACATTTTGTGGCCTGGTACACTATCTGCGGATCCGAAATTCTGCTGCCAAGTGCATCCCTAAATTCTAAAGATTTTAGATTATGGATACAGTATGTGCCTCAGATTTTTATGAATTTTACATCTTTAGGTAATGGGTGATACAGAGAAGCAAATAGTGATACAGTCAAAAGTCGTTAATCTGGACTCGTCGGGACTTCGATGATTCCGGATTATCAATTTTTACGCATTATAGATCATCAGTTTAAATCTGGTAAGATGGCATACAGAAATTATACAATTAAAAATATGAAACCATAATTTATGAAATAAAGAACAATTATGATCTAAAGGGTATCAAAATTTACAAAAAAAAAAAAAGCTTAATATTTATTTGTTTACTTTATTAAACATTTCTTTCAACGCACGCATGCGTAAAGCATACATTACGCATAGTCGAAATTAAAAAATTGCAACCAGAAAAGTATTTGATGTGTATTCGTGATATTTATAATGACGAGGAATTTGATTTAAATCATAACAAAGACGGAGTACATCGAGATGAAATACTACATTTAGTAAGGAATTATAAGCCGAATAAAATAAAAACATCTGCCCTGCGCTCCGCTACGTTCCACCCCCCCCCCCCCAGAGCAGCGTGAAATTGATAAACAGTTTTCGGAATGGTTAGAGAAACAAAGGATATGCCTTTATCCATTTTTTGCAGCAATTCCACTTTTTGTTTGATGGACATCGAAACACGCTTTCGCTTTGCAGATCCTTTGGCAGCTCCAGAATCCGAAATTCTTTTTCACATAATCGAAATGCAAGCTTACTTTTATAAAATTGTTCTAACAGTTTGCAAAAAATACTAAGCCGGATCCAATTAAAAGATTAAGGAACAACGCAATCTGCAACATTAACTGAATTAGATAATTTTAGCTTAGCTTATACCGTCTGTTATACATTAAACGCGCATGCATAAACGTATTACGCATATGCGTAAAGGTACTATGCGTTTACGCATGCTCAGAAAGTTTGTAGCTTTGAGGCCTGGATTAAAGAAATTTGACTGTACATAGATTTTTATTTTAATAAGTACATTAATACAATTAATTTCATTTCAAGTGAGTGATATAAGTACTGCTGAAGATGTGCGGACATGTGTTTTAAAACTTTGACTGTTAAGTACAACCCCAAAACTGAGCAATTAGTTTAAATCTATATGTACATCATACAGACATGACATTAATCACAATGAATCGTATATAATATTTTGAGACTGTTGATGCTGAATACCAAATATTTCAATTTCACGAAAGCATATAATAATGTCGGTACTATTCGGTTTTGAGGGCCGTAAAAAAATTGCAGCGAAAATGTATGCGCAAAAGTGCCAAATCTAACAAACGCACCCATTTAAGACCGCGCCAAATCTAGCGTACATGTTGATTTCAGATTGCATAAGTTTACATAGTTCTATATTTCTTAAGACGCATTGACATACTAGTTTAATTTTTAAATCCTTTTTTGATATCCTATACAGGGGCGTAACTATAGCGGGGGCATCTGTCCCCGAGCGCAGAATCCAAGGAGCGCCAAACTGATGTTACGACATTTTAGAATTAAATGTTTTCCATCCTTGGCAAGCAGTTGGGGGGCGAAATCTTCAGTTGTCCCTGGGCGCTGAAAACCCTAGCTACGACTCTGATCCTATGGATTTAACAATTTGGGAATTGCCCATGACAAAAAGTCGGCTATAGAATTTTAGGTAAAGTGCAGAATCCCCCACTGCTTGACGCGTTTTTAAGAATTGCACATACTCGATATCCATGTGCACATCGACCTATTTTTCACTTTTAAAAAAATCCTAGAATTGCACAAAAATGACACTGCGCACACCCTTGACTTTATCTATGTACACATCGACCTATTTTCACTTAAAAAGTAAAAGAATATTGACAAAAATTCAATTGTTTTTACCCTTATAAAAAGCGGCAAACAAATAAGTGAGCGATTCTGCACTTTACCGAGAATATTTTCAAAGAAAAGGCATCCTTCATTATAGAAAATTACGTTTGAACCAATGAGATGAAATTATGCTTTAGCGATAATCGGTAGCGATTCAGGCATTCGTTCAGGTATGTTTAGCAATTTTTATATAAATTATAGTAATGATATGAAATAGTTATTTACTCTTATGCTTCCATTCAGTCATGTTTAGCCTTTTTCATATAAATTATAATATTAAAAAAGTATTATATGAAATTAACCTTTCATCTAAATTAAAACATCAATCATAGGGCCCTATTCACGACAAGGAGCGTAAATAACGATTTTCTCTTAACGGACGACCGTTACATTTCATGGCTCCAGTAACTGTAAGGACTGTTGGTTAAATCTAGTAATTTCTAATTAATGTTGTTAATCTAGATCCATTAATTTATGAATGAAACCGATAAAAAGTCACCGGTTTCCAAAGTTAATTACAATTGCTTTAACCATCGTTTCTGATGGAGGTAAGAAAGGAAAGAGGGGCCAAACCTCCCTAAGAGCATGGTTCCTAGACTTTGGCATCTTGCTGGGGTGTTTTTTTATTTACATTTAGAAGCTCTCTTGACAGCGCTTTGATAGTATTTCGACACACGATAGTTCCATAGCATTCATTGTGTGATGGATAATAGCAATTTGTATAGTTTAGTAACATTTATGCAAAATTCTTATCTTTTATTATTGATAGTAATGTAACAACAGCGATTTTGATTATGGATATGTTTTATAAAATTCTAAGCTATTGAACTACAAAAATATAGATTTTAGCAAAATTGTTATGCTTAAAGAATGAAAACTATCTTACAGTACCTTTAAAATAGTATATGTCTTTCGATACCCTTGATAGAGTATTCGCTACTTTCATTTTATGTTCCAAACGTTCAAATGTTTTAAATAAAATATTTTTTTTTTTTTTTTTGTCATCCACATATTATTGTAACATGTACTTTTTATAAATTTTTAGAGGAGAGGCTTTATAAGTTGCTCATTTTAAACTCATCATTTTATTTGTATATAACTGAAAAATAATCACTTTGGATTTACACATTTTACTTATTTGGGTTAATTAAAAAATAAAATTACCATCAAATGATCCAATCCTCATCAAAATTAATAAATATACACAACAGATATACCAATAAGCTAACTTTTCCTTTATTTGTAACCACACATTACTGTAACATTATGTACAGTTTTACACAAATGCGTGGAACAGAAGATGGATACATTTGCGAATTTCGCAGAAGTACCATGTGCGGTCAAGATGATGTAAACGTGCCACATAATCAAGACAGCTTATTAAGAATTTGAAAATCAGGTAATCACCGGAGGTGAAAACACTTGTGTATTCTTGCTAAAGGATGTCGGATTATGAATGGCCCCCTTATTGATTCCAGATAATTAATTTTTTTTCCCAAGCGAGTCTTCTTTTCTCGGTAATTCGAGGTTCATGCTTGCTTTTTAACGTATGTAGGTCTCATTTCATAGACAAAGAATGGCTAATGGGAGCATATTACAATATTTGCTCTCAGTATCATAATTAAAAAAAATGGCAAAATTTTCGATTCTCAATTAACTCCTTCCTGGATTAAAGATTTCTCTGAGCAACTGAAAACCAGTAACAGCAAAGGTATTGAGTGCTGCCAAAATATATTTTCTAGAAGATTTGAATTTGATGACAAATGTATCCTAAAACCTGTTTTAAGTCTAAAGTTTGAAACTTGATGGCTAACTATAAATATAAAATTATGTATGTTAAAATATTTGTAATTAGGCACATAAGTTATTGTGTCTTAATTAGGCACATAAGGTTAAGTTTTTATTAAATAGAGTAAAGAAGGCAAGAGTTATCTGCCTGAAAGGAAAAATGCCATCGTGAAGGAATTTCGAAGAAAAACTGACCTTTGAGTGGGTATTAAAAATAATGCATGTAAATTTCATTCAGATTATATTTATATATAAATATATTTCATTCAAATTATATTTTGCATATTTCTTATGTAAAAATGTTGGGTTTATGCTAAATTATTATAAATTACTTTACTCAAAAAAGATTGTGAATGCACAGAAATTAAAGATTTGCATATGCCAAAAATGTGAATAAGTATGGGTGCTTGTGCTTGCAAAAAGCATGTATTTGCCTTAAACAAAAAAAGCAAATATTTATTAAATTATTTATAAATGTATTTGAAATAAAAAAAAACTTCTGCGAAAGTTACTGTGAAGAAATCTAATTATTACATAT